TTTATGGCAACACCAGAGGCAATACAATGTCCATAGATTATAGACGTGATAAAATATAAAGTAGCGTGATACATAGCCTTTATGGCAACACAGGTTATGTTACATGCAAATTAATATAAAAACCTATTAAGATATCTTCGAGATAACATGGTCGTAAAAGGTGACTTGGAAGAGCGAAAACCGTAAAAAACAAGTTATTTTATTTTTATATATACATATTATGAACTTTCTATAAGCAGTAAATAAATTATTAATCGCGCGGAGGTTTTATCTACATTATCTGAAACGGTATCCTTTTACCACTACTAGCATGATAATCTTTATAAAAGAAAAGTTTTCAATCAGTGCATTCTGCCTCATATCAATACACTCGCACAAACGCACAGCGGAAAGCCTGAGAGTCGTGCAGCGGACGATTGAGCGTGCAATGCTTGGCATCTGAATTCGCGATCGCGTACAAAATGAGCCCATTCGCGTAAGGCCGGCAAGCGGCGTAGTAAGGGCTGTCGCAACATCTAAGTGGTGGTGGGCAGGCCACATAGCGCGCATGGACAAGAAAAAATGGTTCTCGCAAGCTTCTTGAATGGAGACCTCGGCAGAACAAAAGGCCGCGCCAAGGAGGTCCCAGTGGGCCAGTGCAGGCCGTACTGGAGGAAAATGGAGGAGGCCTACGTCCAGAAATAAAGAGCTGATGATGATGAAACTATCTTTACATTCTATATATTATTTTTAATATGTTATAAAATATACGCAGCACAAACATTTCGACTCTAAACAAAATAGTTTGTTAATAGGCTGTTACGTGACGAAAACATAACACTCAATAGATATTTTACACCATAATTACTAAATTGAAGCTTTGTTTGAAATTTGAAATTGTGAAAAGCTATGATATTTCAAAATAATTGACTATTTTCTAATGCAAAAAGGATTTTATAAATGTTATATTTATTAGCTAAAAGCTAAACTTTTAGTTTACTTAAGTCGTTATTTTTAGAATAAGTAAGTACGCTTCAGTTGTGTTATTGGAAAATATGGCTCTGATTATAGATTTTACTAGCTGATCCGGCAAACGTCGTTTTGCCATGTATATCATTTATAATAAAAATAGGGGTTGATCGTAGAGGGGTGAAAATTAGGGGTTGTATGTATTTTTTAATGCTGTATCATAAAAAAATAGAAATTAAAAATTTTGTCTAAAAAATAAAACCCCTAACATTTAGGGGGATGAAAAATAGATGTTGGCCGATTCTCACAGATACCGGATAAGCACAAACAATTTCAACAAAATCGGTCAAGCCGTATGGCAACGAAAACTGTGACACGAGAATTTTATATATTAGATTAAGCCCTTATGACTTTCATAGATACCCCTTGCATTTTGCTTGTATACCTTATTATACTTTTTTCCTCCGACACTATACACTAAACAAAACAAGACGAAAATAACGTAATAAAAGAATTGGACAAGTATGAATTTATCACTAAAGTAAATAAGTGAGAAATTTATATACATTTAATTAATTGCCAAAAATACAGTTTCTTACAAGACAGAATAATGAATTTATAACTCATAATAGTTCAGTTCATCGAATATTTCAATCTTGCTCCATTTTCCTAAGTACTTATTCCACTTCACTTTGCAAATAATAGAATATGAGCACAGTAGCTTCTAAACATGCTCAAAGACACTTGGAACTTCGTACATCTCATTTCGCAACGAAACAAGACAATGCTTTTAAGCGATTCCTCTAATGCAGGGGTACCTAATACTTATACAGTACTTTTCGACAACTTTAAGATATATTTGAATAATGAATCTGTAGGGGTTACAGAGTTATGTAATGTTGCTGTTGTTTTATTCCTATTGAATTTATACATAAATATTATTTATATTTTTGGATTCTTTGAAGCCATTTTATAAACTACTAGCTGGCCTGGCGAACGTCGTACCGCCTAACAGTCGATTCTTTATTTGTTTAAAATACTTATTCTGCTATTCGGGACACCGGTCTAGCTAGTAAGACAACAAATACATTATGTCAAAAAATAAAAATTTACCATCCACTAACATTTGAACTTTATGATATGGTATTAAAGTTCAAATTGACTTTTAAGTATTATTACGAATATTTTGTATGGGAATATAGAAAAGTGTTGTTTTTAGACTTTTTCACTAAATTTTTTTTAATTTTTCTCTCCGTAAGAACCATCCTCGTACTTCAAGGTATATTATAGAAAAAAATCAGACAAATCGGTCAAGCCGTTTTCATCCTATGTCGTGACAACGGAAAACGGGTTTCATTTTTATATAATATATAGATATAAAGAGCTACGATTTTTTAAAATTTCATGATCGATACGAATTTATATTTTTAATTACGTATGCAACATGCAATGTTTTACTATGTTTTAATGGTTTTCTACGAAGAACAAATTACAACATTAGCATGAAAAACGAGTGGGTGTTTTCAGTGAAAAAGTTGATTAAAAAGTAATTGAAATTTCTTAAATAATTTGCATATTTATCGACCGCAGTCGGTTGTTGATTTATTTAATACTTCATGAATCATATGGCGTCGTGACCACTGGTAATTGGTTCGATCGAATTAATCCTTTTGGTTATATTTTATGGAGTTTCAATAATTGATTCGAGCTAGACATCAATAAGTAACTGCTGGCTATATTTTAAAATGTTTAATGCGGTCGTGGTTCGTAAAGTCATAGTAACGGAGAGGAGTGAAACTTGTAAAATTGTGTACTAAAAAGAGTTCATAAAACATGGAAATAATATAGCTTTTAATTTAATATAGATTTATATTGTTGGAAATAATATAGCTAAACCGTAGCCGTAGCACGCGGCATTGTTAGATTTATATTGTTTTTTTTTCAAAATAAAATTGACTTCAGTTATCAAACTCCAACTTCATAATAATTCCTAGGTTTTTAAATAAACTGTTTCGAACCAGCAACCTCCCAACAGCTATCATCACAAGAGACAATCAGTAGATTTTAAAATATGGAAATAACTGGTATTTAACTAGCTAAAACTATTATTGTTTTATAGTAATACTAAACTAAAAATAACAAAGCGAGTACTTTACATTTTAGATTAAGAACCTCCGACACATATCGTTGATCAGTCTTGTTGGTTTAAAACTTAACGATTTTGTGTTACATAAATTTACCTCGACGTATACAGTGCTTTGCAGAGGTCATGCCACAACAAGTTGACTGAATTTGATATTAGTGATATATAAGCATAACTACTTCCTTTACAGTGTGAAAACAGTGATTGTAATTTAAGGTTGTTTTGTTTCGTTACGGTTTCACTATTTTATTTGCTATTGGATTTACGCTTTGCAATTAGTATAAAGAAATTTTGATTCCCTGTAAATTAAGTCAGTTTCCATGTTTTGTTCCAATTTTTAAAAGGACTGAATGATATAAATTATTACTGTACTTAATGAAGAAGATAATAATTTATAATAAAATAATTAAAATGAGTTTATTAATTTTAAGCACAATATGTAAACTTTTACACATTACAATGTGTAAAATTTGGGAACCCTTTTAAGTAAAAAATACCTGTGTCAGGGTTCCCAGCTCTTATTTACATCTATTAATGATTTTTAATTTATTTTAGAGGCAAAAAAAATTATTACCTTTAACGTTACTTGGTTATAGAGTATTTCCTATTATGAGATTAAGCTATATATACTAGCTGACCCCAGAGCTGGTGCTTTCCTCGCTCAACGATTAAATATCGCAATACAGCGAGGAAATGCTTCCAGCGTTAAACGTACACTACCACATGAACCAAAATTGTTTTAATTATTTGTAATATTTTTTTAATTTATACTAGTTTTTGTTAAAGCATGACTTTGTTTTGAAAGTTTTTACATAAATGACGGGTACTGGCTGATACTTATGATGACTTAACCGATGTTTTTTTTAAAACTTATATCTAATCTAAACATCATATGACGCATGAATGCTTAATGCTTATATTGTGGGAAAGATATCTCCTTTTTTTCGCCTATTATCAAATAGATAACACATATATAATATAGGAGTATAAATTTATAGTACAAGCGTAACATTTGCCTTTATTTGTTAAGTTAAGTTAAGTCGTAAATAGTTTTAATACAATTATACAGATACACTGCGGCAAAGAAATACTACATATATTCTAAGGAACAGTAGTTTTACGACTAATAAAAACTTCATTAGACATGCCCTTGGTTTCCTGGCATTAAGTGACCGTGTTTCAGGGCTCATTCGCGGATAGCGTAATCCTAACAAAATTACTTTCTCTCGGAGAAGCAAAACAATAGCGATCTCGGACCACCCTCATTACATTTTATTACTATAAAGCTACACGGTTTCGCTTTTTTCACATATAAATATAAATGAAGCTATAAAGGTTGGGAGGAAACGTTAATGGAAAATGTTTTTTATTATTCCTTGCGGCTTCACGAAAATATGGGGTCGAACTACAAATTGGGCTTACTTCTAATAATGATTAAGGTGTTTTTGTTGTATTAAAGAGATATTTTTTTTTAAATTTCGTACATGGTGGATAAATTCGAAAACACACTTCTACACGAAACATTCAAGCATTGCAATCAAATGGTTCTATTTCCTGCAGAGATTTTATAAAGCAGATGTAGTAATGTGTTTGTAAATATTTTTAAAGTGGGCTGAAAATTGCTTGCTCTTAGATGAATTCAATACCATTTGGAATTATAACTACAAATTTCGTATAGCCCGCACAATATTCTTTGAAAACTTTTAAAAGGCTTCATGTAACGAACAATTTTCACGTTATCTGTAGGATTACGGTGATAGCTCTCTATGACTCACTAAGCCAGAAACAACTAGACCGTGCAAAGAACTTTATCGTCAAGGATTCACTATCAGACACTTGACATGCCAACTTGACAGCAAATATATGTAGAATTTTCCTTTTACTTTTGTGTATTATTTATTTCATAAAAATGGCAGGACGTGGTTGCAACCTTGAGTGCGTTAAGGGAGATGATGCTGGTAAAGACGTAATTGAATTCATGGGTCCTGTCAAAATTATTTTGGTTGACCAGCCAACAAATTTGTATATGAGGAAGAGGTTTGCTGCTGCGGCTATAGTATTGGCACACATGATGATGGGAGCAACTAGTATGACCGTTTTTTACTACACATTGAGTTACCAGAAGGATACAGCTCTGTTCGCATCGCATATAGTATTAGGAACAGCTGGGGTATTGCATTCTTAATTCTCTATATTATATTTTTGAAAGGGAATACAATGAGACATACTATGAACTAATTCTAGGAAAACAATAATATTTATGGATCTCGTGGCATAATGGAGAACTAAGACAGCAGCTTTTTAAGATTATTACTTTAAAAAATCTGCATGAATGATTTCGATATAGATACAGGCAAACATCTTGAACAAATGTCCTTGCCTGCGCAGAGGCGATTTTTAGGTATCATGTGATTGCTAAATCAGTTGACGTATGTGTGATTATCCCGCGATGCGCAAACTTTCCTCCACGCCCTTGTTTAATGCTTAAGAAGCTTGCCAGTATCTGTAATAGACACGCATTAATAATTTAATAATGCCTCATTTATTGAAAGAAAATATCTGTTAAATTCTATTTTTTGTTCTCTAGAAAATTATTATTATTATTTATTCTACAATTTGGTAGAAGTTGTTTCAAGAAAGTATAAGATAATACTAGAAGAGTAAGCTAAGCTTATTTTTACTTGTTGATAGGGAATTCGTAAAAGCTACACAATAAAAAGTAATATCATTTTTATTTGTATTATTGACAGTTGCAACTGTGCATGCCTTCGGGTATTCTTGCTGTGCATAAACTCGCTGGTTCCACCGCCGTATTAAGACTACCTCACCGACCATTCGAACACTTTTTATTTCAATTTTTTGCAATTATTTGTGGCATTTTGTCGGCACTGGCATCTTATTTCTTCGGCAATTTTAAGATCACGGTTCACTCTGTAACAGGTTAGTATGAAATTATAAAATGGCATTTATGAAATGCTTTGAACTATAAAATCAGTAGACTTTGAATGTAATATAGTATGAAAATATATTAGATATTCGTATGTGTGGAAAGTAAGTTTTTAATTTTGTAATGTTACCTGTTTTTAACTGCACTTAAGGTTAGCATTATGTGGTATATAGTGATAAGTTGATAAAATTGTACTTACTAAAGAACAGAGCGTCTTCAACTTAATAGATACTGTTATTAGGCACTTTCTTGTGTTCAGTATCCTTATTAGTAAAGTAGGTTAGACTTAAATTACTTATTAGTCTAAAGTTAGGTTAGATCGTAATGTGAAATGATTTCTCAGTGCAGAGACAATTTATAAAAAAAAAAACATCTATAATAGAAACAATGTTTATGGATCATGAAGACAATCTTTTATAGACAATATATATTTTTAATTTAAAGACGGATAGATATGTCAATTTAATAGTTTTTTTTTCATTTCAGGTATAGCGGTAACTTTAATGGCTATCTTAAATGCTATATTTGGGATAATTGTTTACGACTACAGCGGCACGAGGATAGATCACACTGAATTAGGTTCTGTGCGAAAATTTTGCTACAAAACTCACAAATTTTTAGGAATGCTAGCCTTTACTGTATCATCTGCATGTTTTATTTCGGGATTGTTGAAAGAAACATTTGTGGAATGGGCTCCAGTAGTTGAAATACCTTATATCACTGGTATATTCTGTGTGTGTTATACATTTGTTGTTTTGTATAAGCCGTTAAGAGAACATTAATATTGTTTGGGTGTTTTATTATCTATGTTAAGAATATTAACCCTAGATCTTTGTCTTTCTAAGTGCGCATTTAATCAACTATAATACCAATGAAAAAAATTAGACAAGTTGCGACGAAAAAATTGTGCTTCTTCGAGTCAAAAGTAATACTAATTGCAAATCTGTGTTCGCAGCATAATAACCTCAAAATGGCTGCGCTTCCACCTCTACTGAGCGCGATACGTCACTGTTCTCGTGGATCGTAATGATTCTTTTAATGCTTTAGTGGTAAAATTTAATTTTGGATTTAGGGGATAGATTCGAAACTACAACGCCATACTGTATCCCCCGATTTTGGTATGTTTAGGTTTTTTGGATTGCCTCCATATGGTAACATTTTAAAGACATATTCACGTCAAAAAGGAATGAAATGTATTTGGTCTATATTACTTTTTGGCGGAATGTCTGCCAGTACTGAGTTTTGACAGTGGCATTATAGATATTTCAAAATGGTACAAAACAGTTTAAATTATTTTTACGTTAACATACGCGATGATTAAATGGAATCTTCGCAGCCAACGCCCATCATTAAAGATATTGGCACAAATAGAAAATCAAAGCAGCACGATAAAAAATCTAGACATAATCCTCTTAGGATTTTAATCATTGAGCCTAGTGGAAGGTATTGTAGAAGTATATGGTGTGCTATTGGTTTGGGTCTTGTTCACATTTTAATTGGTGCCACAAATATGTCAGTTTTAATATATGCTATGATGAAAGGAGATACACATGCCGCATTGTGTGCTATTGCTGTAAGTATTTTTTAAATTTAAATTAGTAATTGGGAAAGTATTTTAAAATATTGAATATATGTATTAACAAAATAGAGCAAGATGATTGAAACATTTTCTTAATTTTAAGGTGTAAAGCGTTTTAGCTGTTCTATAATGTTTTTTCTTAATCAGCATATTCAGAATTTTAGAATAATTCACTCCCAGGGGCCGTTAGTAGACAGGTTTATGTTCTAAGTATTTTAAATGGAGATTTATAAAATATTCCGACTTAAATAATATTATGGTTGCGTATTAATTTATATTCCATCGAGATCATTCATGATTACCTAATTTTTATCTATGTAAATTTGAGAGTAAGAATCTATGCAGTGACTATTAATACGGATATCCGTATGAATGGACGCAGCCAAAAATCTAATGACGTTAGTGTTGACACTGACTTCGTCTGTAATCTGACAAATCTGTCATAGTTAAGAAAATGTAAATTCAGTTGGTTATGACATAATTTTAAATATGCGTATGATAATCATAGATCCTGTCGGAGAATATTGGAATGTAGTATTTTGTGCAGTAGGTGTGGGATTATCTCAAATGTGTATAGGTGGAGTTTTGACTACAGTTATAATATATTTAATAAAGACAGGCAGCGATATACACGTACCTTTGTGTGTTTTTGGAGTAAGTATAAAGAAGCCTGGGCTTAGTGATTAAGTGCTTCTCTTAGATCCCGAGATGGTAAGTTCAAACCCGGTGATGTACTAACAGTTGGCTATTTATTTCTATATATAACTAGCTCTGAAGGGTCACCAAAATATGCAATCTGAGGTGAAAACCCATTGCAGTACAATACTAATATTTTTCATGCAAACATGAAACATAAACGTTGTCGTTTTAATAGTTAATAGTCATTTGGCGTTGCGTAGAGATGTGCGGTCACTCTGCATCTTCTACCGCATTTACCATGGAGAGTGTTCAGAGGAGTTGTTCGGATTAGTACCCGCAGCTGAGATTCATCATTGGACGTAGAGGCAGAATACGAAATTCCACCCGTATCACCTCGACGTCCGCCGTTCCACAACTGAGCGTTTTTCAAGGAAGTTTTTGCCGCGCATCACCATTTTGTGGAACCAGCTGTCCACTGACGTATTTCCGAACCAATTCGACTTAGGGTCCTTCAAGAAAAAAGCGTACCAATTCTTTAAAGGCCGGCAACGCACTCGCGAGCCCTCTGGCATTGAGAGTGTCCATGGGTGGCGGTATCACTTAACATCAGTTGAGCCTCCTGCCCGTTTGCCCCCTGTTCTATAAAAAAAAAACTATAAAGATGATCATGATCATGATTTAAGTATTATGCTTAGTGAACTATTGACTTTTATTAGATTCAAAATGTTTTCAGTATCATTTTTTCTCAGCGGAAGCAATATTGAGTCTTAACTACGCAAATGGCTGGTCAACACCAATGAGATTAAGACATAGAAGGCTTGCACACACATTACTCCAAATGTGTGCTATGGCTTTGGCAATTACTGGTACATTGCTGATAACGATTGACAAAGGACTATCTTCCAGCCCTCATGGATTAACAGGTACTATCCAAATGCCAACCTGAAACGGTTATTTGTGATCCTCATTTTATGTAATACATTAAAGGAAAAATATAAAGTTAGTACACTGTACAACGGGTTCACAATTTATTATTTAAAAGTAGTTTTAAATTTTATCTAAATTCCATTTGCAATCATATCAAATATGCTTTTGACGAGTCAAATATTTACAAAAGTACTTAAAATTCGTACATCGCTACTTGTGTATGCATAAAAGATTTTTAACATTTTTATACATTACATACATGTAAGGGTCTGAGCCCAGAGGGATTAGAAGGAACAATTCGTAAAATAAAATAGCTATCGTAATGGAAAAGTAACGATAGATTTTTGTATGGAAAACTTAAGAAGGGCGTATTTGGAATAAAAGAGCATAAACATGTATCGTTCGAGTAGAATACGTGTATTAAACACAAATTGTATGAAATCTCTATAATCTCTATCTCGAATTGAAAAATCTATTCCTTTGAGGTATAAAAAACTGAAATTATCGTATTAAAGTTCGTGCTAAAACCTCAGACTCTGATTAGGAAATCATAATTACAATGTAAAATCTCATATTTCAGCCATTTCATTACATTTTTAATATTGATTTGGCTTTTCATGGTTCACCAGTTTCGTAACATACAGTGTTACAAAGTTCAATACGTTTTAAACAAAGTTGCAAAACAACGTTGTTTTATTCACAATTTCAAATTTTAACTAGTTTTAAACTCATTTGCGGCTTCGGTAGTTTGGTTATAAAAGTAGTGTTGGTGTTAAGCTTTTTTTGATGAAATTTTGTAAGGATTCTATTTCTGAGATTATCCTAATAAAAATATTTAGCAACGTAGATAACTTAATGTGCACTTATGTACTCGTAATAGCGTTTTCCGCAATTTTAGATAGGGTCGAAGTATGGGATCCTGTTTTTTTTGCATAACGATATGGTTTCGCATACATCCCAAGTGGATTTTAATATTTATTTATTCATTACGTTTCGTAATTCCATAGCTAACATAAATTATATATAACAAAAAACGATTTACAACGAATACATTATAGTTACAGAAAGGTTCAAACATTTACAAAAGGAAAAATCTATAAAATTATTAAAAACATTTAACTAAGTAATACCTAATTCCTCTGTGTTGTGTGATGGTGTAAAAGAGTGTTTGTGAGGGTGTATATGTGGGGTGTGCTCATGCAGGTGATTTATTTATTAATACCATTCATATATATTTAAGTATGCCTAAATTATAACAAATATTGTGTAGTAATAAATTAGTTTAAAAACCAACCTGCCCAACCAGAGCAGTGTTGGCCTAGCTCAGCATGCGACTCTTATCCCTGAGGTCGTAGGTTCGATCCCAGGCTGTGCACCAATGGACTTTCTTTCTATGTGCGCATTTAATATTCGCTCGAACGGTGAAGGAAAACATCGTAAGGAAACCGATATGTCTTAAACCCAAAAAGTCGGCACTGAAGGCTGATCACCTGCTTGCCAATTAGATTTAAAAATGATCACGAAACAGATTCAAAAATCTGAGGCACAGTCCCAAAGAAGTTCCTTAGAACCTATTTAAAATCTGTTCTTAAAATTGTTTAACGTTTTACAGGACTAATAGCTGGTGTATTAGCGTGCATCGCATTTTTAACGGGGGCTTGTGGTCTTTTCGGTGGTCGCAATTTGAAACTTTTCCACATAACATTCGGAATACCAACCTTTATGATGTCATCTATCTCATTCTGTTTTGGACTTTTCACTAAAGAGTTTAAGGAATGGGCGGGATCGACTGTGGTGTTCATTTTACTTGGTTTTATTATGTTTTATACGTTTTTTATTATGATTACGTGTTTTATTAAGTATGCAATGAGAATATAATCATTTCATAATTTGTCTTTTATTTACAAGACTAGCGGCCCGTCCCGGCTTCGCACGGGTGGACCTTTATTAAAAAAAATTGTAGATATGTTCTTTAATATTGTGGAACATTTTTTTTTCTATCGTCAATAGGTTTCGCAGCGCATGCGATGAAAGATATTTTATATACACCTTGGGTAACATTATTGTAGTTTTAGTATGGAGCCTTATTTTTTTCTTGCAATTAAAATAGCCTATATTAATTGGTGATAATGTAGCATGGAAATGGTGGAAGAATTTTCAAAATCGGTCCAGTACTTTTTGAACCAATTCGTTACAAACATACTTACATACAAATCTTTCCTCTATATAATATTACAACATACTAGACATTGTTGTAAAATAGGGATGTATTTGCGTTTGTTTGATTGATATGGTGTGCTTTCCTGTTTAGTTGGTAATTGAAGCCTGGGCTTAGTTATCATAATTTTTCACTGAGACATGGTCCTGCCATTACCCACAGTTTAAAAAAAAATATCAGAACTGCATTTGTTAAAGTGTAACGAATAGCCAGATAATGAAAAATATTAGCAATATTACACAATTATTGTTATGATTTTTGTCCGAAATATTTTGGTTTTGCATTCGAATCTTTTTCATAAAAGAACAAAATTTATGAAGAAGATTCGAATGCAAAACCAAAATATTTCGGTTCTGTTTTTTGGCAGGTTATCAATTATTAGTCCATGTTGTGCAATGAATTTACAACGACGTGCTTTGGTGGAGCTGGAGGATAGGTGGCCCGGTTGGGGTGCTAAATTTACTTAAGTATTAGTATGGCAACCAAAACAATACGGCGAAGTGGGCTAACTCTTGGCGTGAGGCAAGGTGGAATTTTGTCTCCAAAACTCTTGAACCTATGTATAAATGATCTGATCTTCGAGCTCAGCCGTGTTCCTTATGGCTGTAGGTCGGTGGCATGAGTATTAATAGTGCTGCTATGTCGATGACATGATACTGACATGGTACACTGGGAGCCGTCAGTAGAATGCTATAGGTTTGTGCAGCATATGCAGTGAGGCATGGCCTCGTGTATAATGTAGATAAATGTAAGTACATGGTCTTTAAGGCTAGCAGCTCATACACGGAGTGCTCCCATATTATACAAATCAATGAATTGCATATTGGCAGGGTTGAAATATTTAAATGCCTAGCAATGTGCTATCTACTTACCTCAAAGACATTCTGATAGTGAACGAGCGTAGGGCGTTGGCGGCAAGGAGTAATATGTTAGCGTTTAGGTTTGCTCGTTGTAGTAGTTCCCGTAAAAATCACCATCATTTTTTACTGCCAAAACTTCTAGACGAGCTCACTATGGGTTAGCAGTACTGCCGGGCCGCTTATTGACTTCAATATAATATAACATATGTATATAGATGCTATTGGGACTGCCACGCTTTTGCAGTGCCTCGGCAGACAAGTGTGCGAGTAGGCTGTTTTTATTTAATTTTTAATTTATATTTATTTGTTGTTGATGTCGGTACTAAAATTAGTTTAAAGTTGTACTTACTAACTAAACGGATTTGTATTATCTAATTGGAATAAGTTATAATTATTATTATGAAACAATAAATGCGTTAAACATGCGAATAACGTGATAATAAAATAAACTACATTTTTATTGAAATAATTATTGCACGTAAACATGATAAAATAAAAAAAGTTTATTGTTTTTTATCGTTATCTGTGGACGTGAGAATCGTTATCATGATTATATTGTCCATTCGATAAAATTATATTAAGATAGGTAATGATTTTGATGCATGATTTATAAAATTGGGTTAGTTAAATTGAATCGCAATTCGCTTTGAATGCCATACCTACATAATTGTATAGGATCCTGGTGCTCATATTAACGTGGTCAACTATGAGTTCCTTGCTTGTGATTAAATGATTTCTAACTATATATAAAGTAATGTCTATGAACCGAAGAAGAAAATGATTACTCCTAAAAGGTAATTGAATTTTTATCAGTTTCTTCTTCAGTCACACTGTTCATTTCTAAAGGTCGCGTCAGTGGCGCCGCACAACATCCTTCACTCTCCCCTCTCTTCGGTAGGCCTCTGTGCCTGGGCGATGTCATGTCCAAAAAAACTCAGTAAGCGTTAATACCAAAATGTCGAAAGACGATTTTTTACCTATAACCGTCATTGTAGAGACACATTTGTTTCCTTAACAGTTTAAGACCCTAAGAATATCTTTATAATTTGTCGTAACATTTTGTACTACAGCCACACAGTATTAGTTATCAATTTGAATGATATAAATGATAAGCACAAGATTTGAATTTATTAAGATAAAAGTAATCTTTCGTATTTGAAATGCTTTAACTATTTTTATCTGAAGAGTAAAAACGACAAAATAAGTAGTTATAAGTAATAAACGGTGTGTTACATAAATGATTAGTGAGTTTTGTGTTTTATTATGCGATCGTGTACAGTGCATTTTTTGACAGGTATATGTGTGTTTATCACGAGCTGGTTTGCGTTGAAAGACAGCATAAGTGCTTTTCATCTTCATATACTATTTTGCGTTATCGGGGTATGTATAATCAGTCAGTGGCTTAATGGTTTACTTCGAGTTATTATAGAATGTTTTTGCACAAAAAGATCAAATCAAGCGAACACAAACTGTATAAACGAATGTATTTCAGTATCAATTGCTAATATCCAACGGAATTAACTGCCTTCATGGAGACAGATGGTTCAGCTCTAGACTTAAAAATCGTCGTCGAATGCACTGGATTTTACAAAGTTTAGGGTCTATATTGGCAATACTTGGATCCTGCATTATGATAAAGCAGAAAACGGTTAATTTTACGTCTATACATGGAAAATTAGGTAAGATTTTTTGGGAACTATACCGACCGGTTAATAATCCGGGTTGGAAACCCGGCGAAACGATAATTGATTTTTTTTTACTCAGATACCACTTCTTAATTAAATTATTGAGATAATAAAAAGTATTTCAGAGTTCCAATTCATATATCCTATGTATGTATCCAAAACAATGTTTTATTTAAACGACCGATTTCTAAAAATAAATTGTAATCCATTAAATAATTTAACTGTATTATCTTCGAGTAATAATATAGTCCGGTCAATTTAGACATCCAAGGTTACAATAATTCGCACTTGGCTGAATATTGGTAGGATTGCTCAATACACTATTATAAAGGAAATGTGAAAAGTCCTCATCGATCCGGCACGTGCAAAAAAATTTACTCCAGTTCAAAGATGACAAAAATGGGTTTTTCGCGATTTTCAGCAAAATGGTAAGTTTTATCATAAAATTAGTGAAGACAAAAATTGTAGATCAGATAATTATCTATAAAAAATGCCCAAATACTTTTTTCCTAAGAGCCACCGTTTTTGAGATATAACGATTCAAAAAGTTGAAAGAGTTGTAATCGTCATAGTATGCACACGTTTCCACGCCACCTTTCAGGTAGTGTACTTAGCGCTTTTTTTTAATGTGGTTTCCCCGGTAGGCCTATTCCACTGATCTTTTATGATTCTGTTTAATTTGAAACTATTGAATAACTGTAGATATTGACAAGGGTTGAAAATGATGAAAGGGGTGTAAATTACAAAAAATAAGAAAATTTATCCGTCTGAATCTAAATCATCATTAACTTCCGTTTTATCTTGTTCTTGTTCTTCTTCTCTTCCTTTTCCTTCTTCTCCTTCTTCTTCTTCTTCTTTTTATATGTGTAAGTCACACTGACCGATAGAACGATATATATATACTCTTTAAACTTTTTGAATCGTGATATCTTAAAAACGGTGGCTCTTAGGAAAAAAAGTATTCAGACATTTTTTATAGATAATTATCTGATCTACAATTTTCTTAACACTAATTTTATGATAAAACTTACCATTTTGCTGAAAATCGCGAAAAACCCATTTTTGTGATCTTTGACCCGGAGTAAATTTTTTTGCACGTGCCGGATCGATGAGGACTTTTCACATTTCCTTTATTATAGTGTATTGAGCAATCCTACCAATATTCAGCCAAGTGCGAATTACTGTAACAACTTACCCCTATTTTTTAGTCTAATTTGACCGGATTAATAGTACTCGTTTGATTTATGAGTATCTATCTAGTGGCCGGCTGTGGCAATATGCTAATACTTACAGCTTACTTACCACTGGATTAAATGACATTAGCTCACGTATGTCCAATTACTATTTATATTCAACGTATTCGCTCCTAAATGCGTAATGTCTTTGCCATAAAAAAAAACAGTGGCGCTACAACCTCTTTAGGTCTTGGCCTCAGATTTCTGAATCTGTTTAATTATCATTATTAAATCTAATATGCAAGTAGGTGAACAGCCTCCAGTGCCTGACACACTCCGTCGACTTTTTGGGTCTAAGACATGTCGGTTTCCTCACGATGTTTTCCTTCACCGTTCGAGCAAATGTTAAATGCGCACATAGAAAGAAAGTCCATTGGTGCACAGCCGGGGATCGAACCTACGACCTCAGGTATGAGAGTTGCACGCTGAAGCGACTAGGCCAACACTGCTTTCCATAAGTTTAAGACATAATATTCACCAATAAAACTCTCTGCAAAATTTTCCTAATAAATTTTCACAGCGATCGCATTGTGCGCAAACCAAACATTTTTCGCAGATTTTACGGCATCGCGTAAAACTTTGCCAAACACGTTGTAATGTTTGAGTCGCGTATCGGTTTCTAACCACACAGTTAGTCAATGGCTAGCCGCACACACGCAATAATATTGTCAAATCAAGTTTGTCAATTTGTTTTAACAATATATGCCTCCGCATATTTCTCAATATTATTGCCAATATTTACTAATTTTAAAAGGCTCAGTCACGAACTGATCCTTGATCTACGCGGAAGTATGGATAATAAAAAAAAAATGTGTCATATTGTGTATGGCAATAAGCCTGTTAAATAAGAAACCGAGAACTAAAAAAAAAACTATGGATTAATTTTTTTATATATCACAAGTAAATTATCGAGTGCAATGTTCTTTTTCACTTTGTCGCGATATGTTTTTGATGATATAATATTCCATAGTTCCGGATAAGTTTCCCACAATCTAATGAATTCCTTTAAAGTCTCTTTATCATTTGGGGGAACATTTTCCACACTGTCTCCGTCATAATTTTCGATCAGATCTTCGTCTTCCATTTTACAAAAATCAAAACAAACAATAATATTTGAGACATAGAAAACAACTAATTTGACGTGCACTCATAGATAAATTATGTTAAACTAGAATATTGAAGTAAGGCCCGCACACACACAATATTATTGACAATACGTATTTTATTGTCAATATTATTGCGTGTGTGCGGCTAGCCAATACATTTCAAAATATCTTACATCAATATCGTCATCTTTAACGATATTTTCTACGGACTTTTCCTTCCTTAAACAGATGTGTGTGTGTGTGTGTTAACCTTGCTGACGTCTTCCTAAGATAATATTGAGGTTAATTAGTCAAGATAACATTATTATTGATTTCTAGTGATATCGTAAATTTAAGTTAGGAATTCCTCAACACGTGTAAATTATATCGTCCACGCCGTCTATGAATTCGCAAATGAAAGCCAAATTAATTATTTGAATATAAAACAGAAAAAAATGTTTTATCCTTTAATGGATTTAACACTTGATGATGAAGCAGAATCTCGTACGGCACGTCTTAGACACAAAAATCGATGATGACTCTGACAATGATCAGGCACAGAAGACTACATCCTTAATTAAAAATGTTGAATTAAATAGAATTAAAGTGTGTTCGCAAGCCTCATTACGGGCACGTGTACGGGGCTTTATGCCAATAAATATTTAGTGATAAAAATTTAAACATTCTTTCTGGTTTCGATAAAGAATTATTAAATAGGTAAATAAAATTACTAGATAAAAACTAAAATAGTGTGACTATATCTATTTCCTCGATGATAAATAATTTAGTTCGGTAATGTTATGATACTTTTTATCACATTTCGTATGTAATTGAATTATCGGGGGCCCTAAACAAAATTCTTAGCCACACGCGTGACCTACACAATGTTTTTGGGGCATTATTTTCTATATAGCTGGAACAATGGAACAACAAATTTCGACATATTATATATCTAAAGAAAATATGCTTGGTTTTCTTTCTATTCCTTTATATTCTAATGAATATATTATATAAAATGTCTCACGATATTAGAAAGATAGAAGCCATTTGAGAAACAAAGGTTACAATGACAAAGGTTTTATAAATAAAATATACTAATCTAAACCTAAATTATAATGGAATTAAAAAATCTTTGAATCTCATAATTCACATGTATCACCGAAATTCTAGATGAAACCGTGGACATTTTTTTGGTTGCAGCGTTAGCAGCACTCATGTTGACCCTCTTCAGCATTTTCAACGGAGTTACATCGCTGTGCAACGCTTTTCACCGATTTTCCTTTGTAAAGTACAGTCACCTCTTCTGCGGAACCAGTGCGTTTGTAATTTCCTCAATTTGCCTATGTTTCGGCTTCACCAAGGAGTCTTTTATACGGTGGTCTTCAGAATTCACAGCTTACATTTTGATTCTACTGGTTCTGGTTTATACCGGTATTATTGTGCGGAAACCATATTGTAATGTATGGAGGGTCTTAAACAATAAAACAAATGTTAAATTACATAGAAATCTTATTAGTCACTCAAGTTAAAAATTATTTGTAAACAATATTGTTTGTATCAATAGTTTTTGTAAATGGAGTAAATACTTTTGATATATATTCCATTTTCAATAAGGAATTCTATAAATTTAATTTTAGGATAATGTAAAACATAGGTTACTTTATATTATCTGTAATATTTTGGGTTTTAAACGTAAAATATTAACTGATTAACGACAATAATAATCTGATAAAATATCAATAGTAGGTACTTAGTAATTACATTGATTGTAATCGAAATATAGAAAATGTTTCCATATTTTTAAATGTTAATCATACATTTGTATGAAAATAAAAATAACCAGAGGCGATATTGTTTTCGACATATCAATTTTGCGTAAACAGGTATTATAATGAAGCTTCAACTAAAATGAAACATTTCCTAGTATTTCATTCAACTGTAACTACAGCTAAATGGAATTATTATATTTACAAATTGACATGAATAAATTTAACTATATATTGTTTTGATATTGTTTAATTATTCGCTCATTAATTATACATTTATTTACAATAAGTAAAGTATATATATATATATTATCCTACATTAATTGTTTTAGTTTTACTTACCTCAAATTTCTTTTGTAAGAATTCAAATTAAAATTTGTACACTATTTACTCATTTATTTGTGCTATATGTATTATTTTTTTTTTTTGTTTTTTTTGTTTGCGTCACTATTTTACAAAATGGAAAACTTAAAGTATCGCATTATTTACGAGTACATTCCCCCACTAGTCTCGGAAAGTCGAAGGGTGAATGATGTGTATGGCGGTCATTTCAAAAAAAATAGTTTTTTGGTTCCAAGTTTTCGTTCTGAAATTTCGACCTACAGAACAAGCCCCGTGGACGGCCTGAGACCCAAGTTGATAATGAAGTATTGAAGGCTATTGTGGAAGCGATCCTCCAAACCACGTCCGAGTCACTACAGCTCGGTGTTAGTGATAAAACTGTTATAATTCACTTGAAGCAAATTGGGAAGATTAAAAGCTTGAAAGATGGGTACCTCACAATTGACTGAAGCAAACCGCAAACCGTCGACTCTCTTACATTACTGAACGCAAATAATGAAGGTATTTTAAACCGAATCATTACCTGTATGAAAAATATTCTTTACATAATCGAAGCCCCCAATGGTTGATCCTGCCACCACCAAATCCTCCCACAAAAATAACCCAAAAAGTTACTTGTAAGCGTTTGGTGGACTAGTCCGGTTTTTCATTGCAGTTTTCTCAAATCTCCAACTTTACGGCTATGTCTATTGTAGCAATTCAAACCATGATGGAAAAGCTAGCAGCTCAACCTAGTCTGGTCAATCGCTCCACCCACTCTCTTCACACAACCTAGACCCACACTGCACAACAGACGGCTACCAAATTAGAAGAGCTTCAATTGAATGTCTAAACATCCTCCTACTCCCCGGACCTTGCTCCAACAGATTACCATTTTTTTCGAAATTTGGACAACTTCTTGCAAGGAAAAAAATTTAACTCTATGGGGCAGTCCAAATCGCCTTCACAGATTTTATTGATTCCCGTTACTAGTTTTTTTAGTAAAGGGATCAATGAACTACCTATGAGATGGCAAAAGTGCATAGAAAACAATGGTTCATACTTTGGTTAATTAAATATATTATATTTAAAAATATTCGACTTTTTGTTCCTCCCATACAAGACACCAATTTCATATGTAAGGACCTAATATATATAGTAAATTTGAAATACTACTGTTATTATAAATCACTCAAAACGTCAAATTATTTAAACAATGCAATGAATTGGCGTCTATATCCGTCCAACGAGCTGTTGAACTGTGTAGTACCTACTCGCGTAAGCCAAGGACGTCATGCACGGACAAGATATTGCTAAATCAAGACTGAATCTCTAATAAATAAATTTTTCTCGGTCTCTGCCAACAACCGATTGTTATTAAATAAATTATGAAAATATGAATGTTTAGTTATCTGCATTTGAGATTCCCGTAACTATAGAAGTTGTAAAAACACAAATTAGTTGGAAACCAAGTTGTAGGTTTTCTTAAAGAAGTTGATGGTTGGGTTAATAATAATGATAACAGTGAATGCAGCTGTACATCCTATGAGTGCGTTAGTGAAGTTCTCAGTAGCCCAGGTCCGGAAAAAGCCTTTGTCGAAACCGTAGCAAAGGCTGATGGAGGCAGCAGCAAATGCGACTATTCCGAAACAGATGTGGGTGATTTTAGAAATGTTTCCGGGACAGAAACGTCGCCATTCGAACGCGTAAAGGGAAGTAAGCCCATTGACGAGACTCACACTGGTGAACACAACGGCTATGAGACCTGGAACAACAAACAGATGTTAGAGAGAATATTGTGCTGCGCGGAACCCTTACATTTAGGCTTAGAATTTATTTAGTCTATGAAGTAGTAATGCTACTCGTGTCGTCATTTGTTTCCATGGGGAAGAATGGACTGTTTCACTGTGTTTTAACTTACCTACGTTAAGAAGATTGATGATCCGAGGTCTGTGTCTTCTAACCTAGCTATTGATTTTTTTTTATGTAATAGGAGGCAAACGGGCAGGATACGACGGGTATCGTACACGGGACCTTTATGCTAAACGCATCCATTAACAGCAATTGTAAATTGATCATAAACGCGATCGCTGGTTGGAGCAATTAAAAAGTCTGTCACAAAAATATTTTTGTTTGTATTCTTGCTGTTTCGTTCTTGCTAAATGGTCCTCGAAAAGACTAGATATTCGTCTGTATCATGCTGTTTATTTGTTTTAGTTATAGAATTGAATTTGTATGCTTTCTGTGTGATGTTTTTTTGTATCGGAGTCTTGATTTACCGCGTCTGGTTTACTGATTTTTTTCAAGGATCTCAACTCTCATTTTTGCAAGAGACATTAGTCACCGGGTATTATTCATTACAATGTTTTTATGTACCTGTTCTTAAGTATTGTCTTTTACGGAGTTAAACATAATCTTTATGAGTATTTAAATGTGTGAAAATGCACGTTAGCACGTTTTCAATTATTTAAATGTTCCATGGAGTATTTGATAAAAATATAAGTTTATAGTTTATAATTGGAGATTTAGACAGTAAATAGTATTTAAATGAACACGATTAATTACCATGAAGTTATAGAGGCGCATGTCATTCTTGTATGAAAATCTGTATCTTATTCCTCATATATACGTACATACCAAAGTAGGAGCACAGTATTCACGTAATAACATAACATTCCAAATACATACGGTCTACTTATCTTCATGAATATTTATCCTTGGACTGATTAATATTTGGCAGTGTAGCGTTACAATGACGAGTAAATCCATTTTATCTTATATTGGGATTTAGATATGTTTAGACTTTTTACATAAATTTAGCATGATTTTTATCAATCAAACGCCAATGTTGCCGAAGACTGTTTCATTTATTTACAAGCAGAGCAGAGTTAGCCTAGACCTCAACCCTCGGGTCATACTGTCATACCTATACGTTTTTGACTGATTAATACAATAAATACTTCCTTATATGGTGAACAAAAGTTGTAAGGAAAACAGAATTGAGATTTACAACTTAAGATGACGTGTATCAGACACAAGTAGGTGATGCTTGTGGTGATACTTGGTGACCGATTTTGAAATTTTTACATTTATCATATTTTCTTTTTTTGGAGTGAAACTTCTTTAGGCGCATGAGGGTAAAATTTTTACGGAACGTCACGAAGATGTGCAGCGTTTTAAGTATTTATGCAAAATAATTTATTGAAATCTCAATTGACGAATTGTAAATTAAAATGCCACGTGTTTTTATTATCGAAGAAATAAATTAAAAAAATATATATATTTGTATTAATTTTTGACACTTTTAATATTTAATATGTTAATGACAATTAAATTCCTAACATATCTTCCTTTTTCCCTCCCTCTAAGTCTCGGAAATCTAAAGTTTTAGATTTGTATAAATATGAACAAGACTTAAAAATTAGTTTACCAAAGATGTTTTACTTCTGAAATGTGTACTTTGTACGCACGCACTTTTATTTGTATTATTTTGAATAGTTATCAGATACGAAACTGAAGTACCGAAATGAATAAAATTGCCACGTTAAACTTCACACAAGAGATCGATGATAATTAATTTTAACTTAATAAACAAAATTAAAGAATTACCAAATTGTCCATGTAAAGTGTTGAAATTCTGAGTCTTGTCCAACATCTTGATGAAACTACCAGCGAGTGCCAAAGCAGAGCCGATAACTTGAAGAATGGTATGCGCTCGTCTCTTGTCTCTGAATCTTAAAACCCCGGACCAGCCATTGTCAGCGGATAAACTAAGTATAGCTTCCGCCATGAGGAGTTGGTACTAAAATAAAAAAATTGTGTTCCTTAATTGTGCAGCATTGTGAAACATTGCATTTTTAGGTTTTCGAGTTGATGCCTTCTTTATATATATATTAACTATAGATCTCAATGTCTTACTATGTATAATATGTATAATACTTCATTATATTTGCAAACTTATGTAACAATAACGAAGTGATAAAGTGAATTTCATTTCAAAGATTAAAAAATTACATGGAAATAATTTCGTACATTTGACTAAAACAATAAATTGTCTATTTTATAAATCTCTTCATTTACAAATATATTATTGTTATTATTTATTAATTAAAATATATAAACTCAAGCTACACATAAATAAAAAAAGATTTTAATGTTTATCTTGTTTTTTCGACTAGATCGTACAAAGATAATTAAGAACGTTATGACAATCTTAATTGAAATTCCACTTACCCCAATTACACATAACACTATGTGTTGCGCAGTACTTCCCAACGGCAATCCATTGCTAAAGGAGAAAATAAGGCAAATTCCCACAACTAAACCAATCAAAAGGTGGGCTAGAATGTTTAGCGTTGCCTGAAAAATCTTCAGTACATATGGCGCACCTTCGGCCTTACTACTCTCGATGTCCACGGTCATTTTGTCTGTCCGCGAGAAGCGCTAAAAGATGTGTGGTTTCCACTAAATTCCATTATTTTATTTATGAGCGCGAATATCGTTTTTCTTATCTCGTTCGAGATTAATTTGACACGGAAGGGCTGAGTTAATGGATCAGTACGATAGTGGAGTTTGCAAATCATAACACATCTAGGGGCTCTGAGGTAGGTAAAAATGTGTGTAATACTACGTAATATCCATTGATATTTTCTATTAATTTTCCATTTTACATAGTCTGAAAAATTACAATAGATAAGACTATTTTCAAGTAGAATATTATATAAAAAACAATTTAAATATTAAAAAGAATACTTACTTTTTAGTTCACTTATATAAATGTAAATTATTTCTACATTAATTCATAAAAATCATACAAAACAAATTTATCATTATGCTTATAGAACTTATAATAAGTAATCAAATGTTTAGCAATAATTTTATTTTTTAATCAGTAAAATTACATAGAACATTTTCATAATAAACGGAAACATAATTCAAGATTTTTAAGTTTGTCTAGTTATCGTGATGCATTACAGTAGTTTCATATGAAGTATTTATGTATTGTTAGTCTAGATGGTTAAGCACGTACTTTTAAGGGTCCTATATCTATTATTGGCCTTAGTTTCGAATACTAACAAGCAAATTCCATCGTATAATATTTTGGTATCAAATTATTCATACAAATATTTTTCGTTAAGAAAATCTTCTTGATTTACACATTGGTACAAGCTAATTGCACTGTTTTCATTTAAGCCGTCCTTTGGTTCGTTTTGTCATAGTGAACGAAGAAGATAGATCAACAATAGGTAAAACAGCATTAAACTATTTAGCTTTAAAGAAAAAAAGGATGACGTAGGCATTTACGACGTAACATTTAATTACTGCTTTTATGACGCCTACGTGACGTAATACGGTGTTGTTAATGACACTTATCATCATAAATATAGAGTACGACAACAGGTGTAACTACTATTATACATAATTTTAATAAGTATTTCTAGAGTTATACTTGAGTAATAAAGTATATATTTATACAAATATAAAAGAATATCTTGATCTATGGTACATAATGATGTGATGTATTTCCATGTTAATCTGTTCATGTTACTATTATTACTTCATTCATGTCCTGTTAGTGAGATTCCATACTGTTTTACTTTTATAGGGTCGTATTACAAAACTTTCAATAAATGTTTAGACAGGAATTCAAAGTATATGTTAGTCCGGAAAGCGGCATACCATGAAACTAATTACTCACTAATTGGTAGCTTTTCTTAGCAAAGTTAATAACAGGATTGATAATAATGATAGCAGTAAAACAGGCTGTGCAACCTATCAAAGTATCAGTGAAGTTATTGGTTGCCCACCTTCTGAAGAACACATAGTCAAAACCATAGCACAAACTGATAGAGGCTGATCCGAAGGCGACAACTCCAAAGCAGATGTGAGTAAGTTTCGAAATGTTTCCTGGACAGAATCGCCGCCATTCAAATGCGTAAAGAGAGGTTACACCGTTGACAAGGCTGACAGTTGTGAAAACCATGGCAGCTAAACCTGTGAATTAAAATATATTTTATTAATAGATTCGAGTACACGGGACACAAAAGATTTTTTTGCGAAAATCTAGCGCAATTAATGCTTCAATTAATAATTCAAAATAACATCAAATAGTTATCTGTCAACAATCAGCATTGTTGTCTTGAGTGCGTTCGAATAACGGCTGCGGACCAATACTTACTACAAACAGATACAGAGACCAGGCCAGGGAGCCAACACAGAAGCCAGTAGCACTGACCACGATCGCATTTATAAAGCAATCGAAATTATTAGTAATGTAAGTGATGTAATAAATTGATGATTTAAATATTAGTTTCATTTAAAGTGCTATCAATAAACGTTATACGGTTCAACGATGTAGTTTATTTGTAACTTAAAAAATAAAAGTTTTTTGATTAAAATTGTATCTAAGGGTACTTCCAAAACAACATACATAAAATTTTGGAATAAAAAAAATAAATCAGTGGCGCTACAACCTCTTTAGCTTTGGGCCTTTCACCCATTTCTGAATCTGTTTCATGATCATTTTTCAATCTAAGAGGCAAGTAGGTGATCAGCCTCCTGTGCCTGACACACGCCGTCGACTTTTTGGGTCTAAGACATGTCGGTTTCCTCACGATGTTTTCCTTCACCGTTCGAGCGAATCTTAAATGCGTACATAGAAAGAAAGTCCATTGGTGCAAAACCGAGGACCGAACCTACGACCTCAGGTATGAGAGTAGCACGCTGAAGCCACTAGGCCAACTCTGCTTAGAGTCAAAGTATATTATTTAGAACTTACCGAATTGCCCATGTAGAGTGTTGAAGTTCTGAGTCTTACTGAGCATTAGTATGATACTACCGGTGACCGCCATTGCAGACCCCACCACTTGCAGAATAGAATGAGCCCTCCTCTTGTCTTTGAATCTCAGGACACCAGACCAGCCGTTGTCTGCTGATAGACTCAGAATTGATTCTGCCATTAGAAGTTGGTACTGAAATAGAAGCATCATAATAAATTGTTTAAAACCTATACCTAAAGTGTACTTAAATGTTTCAGTTATAGAATACGTTTTATTACTACTACTGCGACTTGATGTGTTTAGAGGATTTATATAAAAAAAATATTACATCAAGCTCATGTTCTGTACAATTTCGTAGGCAAAAAAAAAAAACAGTGGTTCTACAACCTCTTTAGGTCTGAGCCTCAGATTTCTGAATCTGTTTCATAATTATTTTTCAATCTAATAGGCTGATGGTGATCAGCCTCCAGTGCCTTACACACCGTCGACATTTTGGGTCTAAGACATGTCGGTTTCCTCACGATGTTCTCCTTCACCGTTCGAGTGAATGTTAAATGTGTACATAGAAAAAAAGTCAAAGTCATTGGTGCACAGCCGGGGTCTCGAACCTACGACCTTAGCGATGAGAGTCGCACACTGAAGCCACTAGATTTACACTGCTCCGTGACAAAAATAACTTGATCCAATTCATCGGCAATTGAACTTAAAATGTGTACTAGTTATGTGAGCTGTCTGTGAAACCTTTTATCGAAAGTTATACGTGGACAATATCAATCAGTGTTTTTTATTATCTTATGGATTTAAAAATCAAATATTTTATCAAAACATAGTCCGGGCGTGTTTAGGCGAAACGTCTCCGGAAAATGATTACTTTATGAAGCTCAATACTGAATTACCACGTCTCATTCATTAAATGTAAAAAACGGTCACCTAAACCGTGACACTAGCGAGATTGAGTTAGCGGGTTTGGATAAGAACTGGTGGCAATTTAAAGGGGTGGAAGCTTTAGTCCAAAAAACCCAAAAACAATATTGCCGCCATACTAAAATCTGAAATTTAGCTACATCGGCGACCGGAAACAAATACCCCAGTCTCCGTCTCCAACTTTCATACCACGAAATAGACGCCCACGTAATAGACGGCTCTAACAAACTTTGATCAGCTACGTAGGGCGGTGTAAGGGCGTTTTATTGTTGGGCACGATTTGACCATCTCGTAAGAATCGGAATGATGTTAAATTGTGCGGAATCGACAAAGAAGAGTTATTTTGATACATTTGCTTCTTTGAGTTTGAACAGGGCGCTCTCTTCTCTTCAAGTTGAATTTGTTATTTTTAAGAGTTTTATCCTCGTCGTTCGGAATTTGCCGAGAGCAGAAGGCATTCGACTAAGAATTAGATACCATTTTAACCTTTCACAAATACAGCAATAACGGAATACGGTCTTTCATAGGAGATATGATTTTTTTTCCGAATTCCCATATTATATGATTCCAAATCCTTAAATTCTCCAAAATTCCGCCCGTATCATCTCTACGTCCGTCATTCCACAACTGACCGCTTTTTGCTGTGTGGTGCAATGGTGGAACTAGGTGCCCATTGAAGTATTCAACTTAGGGTCCTTCAAGATAAGAGCGTACCAATTCCTAAAAGGCCGGTAACACCCTTGCGTGCCTTCCGGAAGTATGACCCGATAAGCGGTGAAATCACTTAAGACACTTCTTTCTTCTTTTCTTATAAGACAATTATGGAATTAGCGATTACAAATATCAATAAAATATCTAGAGTGTACACTGTACATTTTGGTATATGTATGATATTCGCCTAATAAAAAGCTAATAGCTAAAAGCTATTTAACTTACCCCAAGTACACACAAAATTATGTGTTGCGAGTTTTCATTCAACGGCAATCCATTACGAAAGGCGAAAATAAGAGATATACCAACAACTATACCAATTAGTAAATGCGAAAGAATATTTAAAGTGGCTTGAAACACTTTGAGAGGATAATTTTCTCTTCCTTGCACGATTTCAGGATCCACCGACATTTTTATTATATCTCGCTTGAGCCACTAATTAATTTATTGTAAATTTAAATTTTAGCACTTCCTCTCACGAGTTTAGTGTTAGAAATGGCGGCTATTAAATTCTATCTAATTATTTAACAGATCGCTAATCATTGATGACTTTTCTTATCGCTGTGGAGATTGGCAATTTTGTTTTCTTTCCACTTATTAAGGCATTGTGTCCCTGTTGAGTGCCAGTAAGTTATCGAATATCAAATAGAATAAGGAAATTTAAATACACGTGTAATTATGAAAATTAGTAGCTTACATTAGGAAGGCCAAGATATTGAAAATGATCAAATTAAAATTAAATTATTTTTACATGTAATTAAAAAAAACATATTTGGAATTAAAAAGGTATATAATAGGAGAAAAATATAGGAGAAAAATATAGGAGAAAAATATTTCAAATAAGTGAAAACCGTTTTATTTATTCCATCTTTTTTTTACAGTTTCGCAGTGGCATGGGCGTGCGAATCTCATACCTGAGGTCACAGGTTTGAACCCGGTTGTGCACCAATGAACTTTTCTCTCTTATAAAAGTAATTAATCTTATAAAAGTATAGGCTAATTTTACGCTTTGCACTACTTTCCATACTAGACAAACTATTTTGCATCGGGGCTCATATAGACGTATTTTAATGAAATCGACTTCAGGCTACGTATCCTGGTTGAACATAGGTGGATCTTAAAAGGTCATATTCAGAGTCAAGTTGCCCTAACATTTTTTATACAATGGCGCAGATATATTTTACCTTAGCGTTCAATGCTAATGAAACTCTAGGTAGCCTTCAGATCAATAATCATATCTGGAGAGTCATTATTCTTCCCTCCTTAAATTTCAGATACCGTAAATGTTATGATTCGCTTTGTATGGAAAATATTATTATGTGTGTAGTGTGCTGAGTTGTCTATACTAACCTACTTCAACTAACACAATAATTAGAAAATATAATTATCATTTTTGAGGTCTTTGATTTCAATCAAATGCCGATAAGAAAAGTCAAGTCATGCAAACGCGTTTCGTTCAAGATAAATTATATCATTATTATAGACAATGGTAACGATATTAGAAGATCAAAGGGTAAAACTTATCTAATGGACAGTTTGTCGTTTAGTAATACAGGTGATATCGCGGATCAGGACTTTGCTAAAAAAGTTTAAAATTAAAGAAATAAGTACTGGGAAAAGCGGCATTTGTTGTTCAATAATGGAAAACCCCTTTGACTAAATCGTAAAGTCAAGATATATTAAGGTATGTTTTTTTTAACTACCTCGGTATCTCAAATATCTCAAATAAACACTCGGCTCGGAGTCCATTAAGCGAGTGCAGATCTCGGAAGTCTCGTTTCAGAGTCCAGTAGAACATGTCAGAGTCGTTGAGGATATATCGAACGATAAGGCGAGACGGTACTTCACTCTGGGCCACCGCTTGCAACTCTATAAAGCGCAAATTCGGCCTCACATCCAACGTGAAGAGCTGGTAAGTCACCTTAGTTTGTTAACGAGGTGATTAGAATCGTCGACGACCGTCACTTTCCTCAGCGAATCCCTTCGTTGCCTGAAAAGATGTGGGTCCCTAATACACAACTACAAAATTGATTCTGGGAGAATCGCCCAGAGGCCAGTTGCCAGATCTACGCTGCAGCTGAGTTACATGTATCGGAGCCTTTTCGATGGAGTAACTGCCGCGTCACCCACGCTGCCCACTGAAGTAATTTCCGAACCAATTTGACTCGGTCCCAAGAAACGGCTACAAATTTTTGAAACGTACTTTTGAGCCTCTCAGGGAAGCGTGCCTGGGCGCTATCACTAACATCAGTTGTGAGCCGACCGGCACGTAGGCGTTTGCTGCTTTGACAGTGGCCCTTATGGCATTTAAGGTCTGACGGCTGAGGAAAAATTAAACTCTTCCGCCATCCAACGTGAAGTGTGGTAAGCCACCGGTGTCTGATTAACGATGCATGAGGTAGATCGTGTAGAAATCTAGAGGCCTAAAAATGATTTATTACACATTTAGGTAACACAATGTACACTGATAATCGTCAAGCGCTACAAGAAATACATATTAAGTGCGAAATGTATCTAATTTTAGATGGTACTGGCGTCCCAGTTCCCAAATCCACCGATCCCCAGGGCAGTAGATTACGGAAGAGAAGAACTGTGCCTAATAAAGTCCCACTCTTTGCTGAGGCGCCAAGCATTGGGTTGACGTGGTCGGAAAGTCAGGTCCACTGTCTGTAAGAAAGAGCGAGCATCCATGTGACCACCGCTGCCCGATCTAGATGTCAGTCAATAAGTGTAAAAGTCAAAAGTAAAAATATTTATATTTAGGTAACACAATTACACTTAATCCAATAAAAAAATAAATTAAATGCTAAAGTCACGACGATCCCTGTAATGTGAACTTGGCTACATAAGAAAATAGTAATAATACTAATTATACGGAAATAATTAGATACCTCATGGATCACGGTTTGCTCCGACTTTACATTAAAATAGTCGTGTATGTTAACGTTCTCCTCCGAGTATGGAAATGCAGCCGAGAGATTCAGTCGCGTTACCTCTACTGGAGCAAATAATATCCAAGCACTAGGATCGTTTAAATATTCATTTGTATTATAATAGGCCTTAGCAAGTAGCTTTACTTTAACGATCGAATTGAATTTGGTCTGTGTTTCATCGACTGCAGATTCTGGCGTATTGAGATTGCCTGGTGCATACCTCTGTTAGGATGTTGTCAGTGTATGAAAATTTGCGCCTCTTAGTAGTGCAAAGATGAATCAAATTATTAAAATATCCTAACAAACTACAATACCACTACCATGTTCCAGGAATTGAGAAGCTCTTTATTTTAAGTGAAAATACACATTTGAGGGGTAGTTCTTTAAAACTTAATACCACTCAACATAACACAAATTCCCCAAAGAACTTTCTCCCAAACCGAGTAGTGGTCGACTGGAATAGGTAATGGAAAATGTAATCAGTACACCATCTATGAACTCTTTTAAAAATAGATTGGATAGTTTCTCCAAATCTCAAAATACGATAAATATAATACTTTTTAAGCTGCTACTGTGTTTATATATATAACTAGCTGATCCGGCAAACGTCATTTTGCCATGTTTATCATTTATAATAAAAAATAGGGGTTGATTGTAGAGGGGTGAAAATTAGGGGTTGTATCTATTTTTTAATGCTGTATCATAAAAAAAATAAAATAAAAAAAATTATCTAAAAAAAAAAAATGGGTTGGACTACCCTTATCATTTAGGGGGATGAAAAATAGATGTTGTCCGATTCTCAGTTATACCCAATATGCACACAAAATTTCATGAGAATCGGTCAAGCCGTTTCGGAGGAGTTTAACCACAAACACCGCGACACGAGAATTTTATATATTAGATAATAATAATAAATTGATAATCTTCAAATATTTGCGAATCTAACTAGCACTTACATAGTAATTTAATTGTGGTTGTTTTAATTGCAGGTATTGGTTAGAGGCTCCATTATAATTTAAGTCAGGTTGGACAGGTTCGATTGAAACGTAGGCTGTGGTTTGCATATTTAAGGGAAACCGTTTTGGCCGTAACTAATGGAGTTAAGCCTCTTAGAATGGGAAATATGCCTATGTGATAAGTTACGGCGAATAAAAGAATTACCTTGCGATGTATTGAGTCTTCGCAAAGTAAATATATTAAGTAACGCCTTAGTAGAGTCGGAAGTTTTGGTTTATTCTACTTAAAAAGTCTTTTGTTAATTACCTAAAATAAAATATAAAAAAAATATGTTTATTATGGAACATAAGATACATGTATCACTTATTCCACGTCATTAAATTTGAATTTGTAGGCATCCCTACTCATCGGCAAAGAAGACAGAGGGTGTAGGCCGAGAGAAAAAGCCGGCGTAAAAAACTCTCGGTACTCTTTTAAAAAAGAAAACCTATTAATGTTATTACAATAATAACAAATATAATTATTTTTGTGCATTTTAGAACCTAGGATTCATGAGTCCTAAGCTTATCAATTTTTTATTTTGGTTTTGTGATTGTGTTCATTATCTGTATTTTTTTTAATTTAGTTAAACACTGTTTGCTCTTTATTCTTAGTATTGGTTTTTGTTCCTTACTAGGTTTGCCTGGAAGAGATCGCTTGTTAGCGATAAGGCCGCCCGTTGTTTCCTTAATTTGTGTTATATTTGTTATTATTATTGTAGTACCTAATATGTAATGCAACAAAGTATTAATAATTAAAAATAAATTAATATCTATTTAATTACAAAACTATGAACAATCTTAACTCTTATATAATGCGCTTTTAACTGTTTAATCTGGTAAAGAATTTCGCGAAAACTATTTGTGGTAAGAGCAATTTGTTCGTTTTCTGTCATAGTTGGTAGGCTCATCAGTTGGAGTGGTTTGAACATGTATTATTTTCTACTGCTATCGACACCACTACTTCACTGTTCAAGCAAAATCTATGAACGCAGTTGTATGCTTTAAAAGTATTGTAAATTTCAGACGTTGTAATACAATATAGTGAAATAAAAATACACAAAACTCTGTTTAATATTGCGTAGGAACGCATTAGACAATTATTTAATATTTCGCTCTTTCTTACGTCTTAAACCTAAGCGAGGCTTGAAATTGAGATAACTACTAGTGTTGGTTGATACTTGATGTATGCACGCGTAAATGGCCACCTGGATTTATTACTAGGCAATACGTAAATATTCAAAATTGAACGTATTTGACTCATATATTTAGGGTTTTTGTCAACATTTTGTAACGTTAATAAATTGCAAGCACTGGACAAAGATTTTTATATATTATTAAAAAAACAAGAATCATCGCTATGGTAATTTCTCACGTAAAACTTTTAATAATATTATAAATCTTCGACAAAAAAAGGTTATTGTACTGAAATATTTGGTACACGCATTAGCTAAGCGTCGCGGTCGTTTAAAATTACGAGAAA